AGCAGCCAAGGAAAAAAAATCCTAGCAATAAAGAAGTGATGGATAAATTGGAGGAATTGAAAGCTCATATTTGTGAATTACAGAAGGACAAAGAAAGATACATGTCGGAAAGGCGCGGTCCAGAGGGTAAAGATACTAGTGACAAAGATAGTATCAATTGTCCGCAGAAGCTTCCAGAGGTAATTATATATATTACATTGAAATTAATTTAGCATAATTTTCTTAATTGACACATTAATCGGCATCATTATTTGTTTAGGGCATTTCACCTTGTCGGCTATATTTATCGTCACCGACTTATCGCATGGTTGGCAAGGGAAAGGTGCATAACACTGTGGAAGACTTACTTCACCATAAACCGCTCCCTGCTGGATTTTTGAAAGTATCAGTTGATATTGCGTTAGAGTGGGGTGCATTGTTGCTTATACCATATGATGTTTCAGACGCAACAGTGGTGGGAGACGTAATAGGAGCGTATGTTGCATGGCTGGCAAATCTCATCTTCATAAATGATGAGGTACGTTAAACACCATTATGAACCTTGTAATATTCAAATGTTTTACGACCCATAGATGAAAGTTATTCTTACATTTAGATTTTCTTATTTACATGATGATCTTAGACTCCTACAAAATCCAAATCAAAAGATAAGGGAATCATTGTGCGGGAAACCGATACAACTGCATCAAAGAAACAGGTACTACTACAGTTACATGATTATCTTATTATACATTAATTACTGAACTTATATGACTTTTAGGTTCATGATCAACAGTTGCAACAAGTCAGCAAGGGTAAGATGCTTGAATCTTCCAAGGTGTCCAACAAGAAAAACGTCGAGCCAAAAAAAGCATTTGTTCCTCGATTTAGGTTATGCCTTGAAACATATGTAGGAACAACAGATGTGAATGAGGGTGGCATCCGTCAAATACCTATGGAGGAAGGTATTTTCGGTTTTGAATATACCAAAATAATTGCTAAGGAGGATTTGGACTAGATTTTCCAACATTCTGAATTGGGCGTCGGTGTTATGCATTCCTACATCAGGTACTCCGATCCATTTTAATTAAATAATTGAACATTTTAAAATTTGCTCATTTAACTGAATATTCTAATGTTGATTATGTTTTTCTTTTAGGCTCTTGTATGACAAGTTGTTGGTCCCGCATGATTTGACTTCAATATTCACATTCTTATCTGCTAGCTGTATCAACTCACGATCAATAGATCACACACCTAGATGTAGTCAAAGATTACATAGTCCAAAGATTTATGGTCGCGACTACAGAGAAGTTGTTCTTGTTGCCATATAATACTGGTCATGGGTATGACTTCATTCTAAATTCATTTATTATAATTATTCGATTTTTGTCATTCTATATAACATTTCCGTCTAAACTGTTGTCTTATTTTATAGTGGACACTGGTTGTTGGTCGCGATTAATCCGATGAAAGAAATAGGGTATTATCTGGATTCATTGGATGACGATCAAACAAAATATCCTAATATGAAGAATATGATTGATATGTAAGTGATGAGATATACTGTTTTGAATAATTATATATCTTTATTTATTATGTGACATTGTTCTAAATATGCGTTTATATTATGTTAGAGTTATACAAATATTCAGAGCACAAAGACAAGCAACAGTGCCAAAAAGCAAGGCTAACAACATTAGCTGGATTAGAGTGCATGTATATTTTCTCATTTTTTACTGTTATAGTGGTCCTACTTGATAAAACTATTTAAACTATATATCCTGATAAATGTTCGTTTATTTTTTCCATTTACAGTGTCCTCGTCAACGCAATGGGATTGACTGCGGATATTTTATATTGCGCTTTATGAAGGAAATTATTCATTCTGGTCAAATAGAGATTCCAATCATGGTATGGATCAATTCATAAATTATATGATTCATTTTGATAATTAACCGATGTTTCATCTGAGTAATTAGTTTTAAAACTAAATTATGCATGTTCTGTTATATTATGTAGTACTTTGATGAATTCAAGTGCGGTACTTACTCGAAAGCAGGATTGGAAGAAATAAAGGATGAATGGTGTCAATTTATTCTTGAGTTGAGAATTGTATAAGGTATATGTATCATCCAATATTGATGCGGGATAATAATATTTTTGGAAGTCGTATCTATTTGTAAAGTTAACGGATTTGTAATTATATGTAAATTGACTGTATTTGTGATGTTGTAATTCTGAGGATCGGATTGTGTTGTAATATATTTAAGCAGGTTTATGTGTATTAAAATGATTATGGGCAAAGTGATGAGTTACAATGTATACTTAAAGGCCAAAGTGTTGAATTGTATATATAAGGCCAAAGTGTTGAATTGTATATATAAGGCCAAAGTGTTGAAATAAATGCCTGAATTATAAGCAGGGAATGTAATTGTTATAAGCAGATTTATCGAAAAATATATAAAAAATGTGATTATTTAAAAAAAAAATTAAAATCGTGAAGATTAGACAGCGCTTTTACAAAAAAGCGATGCTAAAAGGAGCATAGAGGGCACTAAAAAAGCGCTGCTATAGGTGGGGAAAGGGGGGTCTAAGAAAGCGCTTTCTAAAAGCGCTGCTAAAAAGGGAGTCTAAGAAAGCGCTTTAAAAAAGCGCTGCTAAAGGGGGGTCTAAGAAAGCGCTTTCTAAAAGCGCTGCTAAAGAGGGAGGGGAGGGGGAATAGGCAACACTTCTAAAAGCGCTGCTAAATGTGCTGCTAAAGGGAGCCTATAGCAGCGATTTTTTCATAAAAAGCGCTGCCTTTACCTTTAGCAGCGCTGCTAAAGGTCTTTTTTGGCATAGTGTGTAGCAAACCATTTCTTAGTGCGATAAGGCTTGACTGTTGTTGTTGTTGTACAACTAAAATTTATTACTTTGAAAAAGAAAACACAAAAAATATATATAAACTAATTTAAATACCACATTTCATCCCTCGTAACAAAACAAAAATATCACTATAATTTAATAAAAATCAAAATATTATAGTTGTTTGTTCATTAGACCATCCTCTAACTTTGACTCTTTTTTTATTGCTTTTAGGAGAAAAACTAAATGAAATTAAAATTTATACAAAATGTGAAGATAAATTTATAATCAAAATTTTAAGATATCCACGTCAAAATTTCTCTAGCCGCTTGCTTGTAAATTTTCTCCATTGAATATGTGTCATATGAACCTTGGCTTGCCTGCAAAATAACACAATTAAAATCTTTTTTTAAATTAATAAATTATTTTATTTATTTGATAACGAATTAGTGTACATGAATGTTTGGTATCACTCTACGGGTAAATTTAAAAAATTTATTGTGATATCCAATATAAATTATAAAGATGGGATAGATCGAGTTTGAAATTTACATGAACTAGAATTATGTACACATTTCTATTTCCACTGCGCATAATATTGATAGATACAACATCAATCATATGTTTCTCCAACACAAAAACAATTGTTGTCAAGAGACCCGGTTTCTTACTTCCACATATGCAAAATTGTGCTTCCCCCAATGTTCAACACAATATTTTTAGAAGACCATATTTGAAAAGCTACTTGTTGCGGTGGAGGTGCATATAGTAATTATGCATTTGAAGTTTCAATTACACTAATAGGAAATTTATTATTATAACTAGAGGATCTTTGATCAACTATGATATTTTTCCTTGATTCATATGAATTCAATGGCGAGTTCATCTCAGACGATGACTCGCTTACAAATGAGGATATAGATTTAACCTTTTATTGTTTATTCTTTTCTAGATTTTCAAGAATCAGTAGTAAAGTTTTTATTTTCTTCACTGTTGCATCCATAATGGTTGACTTATCAACCTGAAAATAAAATAAAATTAATCATATAATTTAAAAAATAACTCATTGTGACACTAAAGTTTTGCCCTAATAATAAATGAAGATGAATATGAATTTATCTTAGAAGACAGATTTGGAAGCAAAGCATAAAGGCTAGCAAACATGCTCCTCATTTTCTTTCTCTTTTCTCTTTCATTCTATATGTTCATTTCATGATGAGAATCACGATATTTTTCATCTTTCCCTTTTTCATTTTTGGTATTTTTTCACTTTTAATCACAAGCCCATCTCGACTTCGTTTTTCAATCGCATGAACTTCTCCTTCATTAATTACTTCATTCTGGTTCATTGAATTCATATCTAAGTTTTTTTCTACTCCCACCAATGTTATCTAAACTTGAGAGATCACTCGTTAATTGACTTTTTCACATGGAATCGGCATTTTCATCATGATTTGCACTTGTTATCATGTTTGTTTTTGAGATAGTGTAACATAGAAAAAATAAGATAAAAAATAGTGAAGAATATTGTGAATTGTAAAAGAGTTTTTAGGTATTAACTAATAAATAATAAATTTTATCAAATTAAATACTAAAATTTTATAATTTTTTAATGTTTTTATAAAATAAATATATTAATTAAAATAATATTTTATTCAGAATTTAAAAATCATAATTAGTGGATGGCCCATAGACCTAATTCAATATAACAAGCGGGTTGATTTGGTTCGGATTTAGTTTTATAAGTATGAATTGAACATTCAACTAAAACTAAAGACTATCGATCGGATCGTATATTAAATTTAATCAAATTAAACTCAACCTAACCTGCAAACACCCTATGTGTCCTGATATAATTCCCCGCTTCAAATTTAATATATTATATAGATCCTCTCGATCATTATCAATAAAACTCAAGGATTGATTTCCTTCATTTTTAATAATTGCAAAAAAACTACCTTAGTAAAATAGACAAAAAGGCATCAAAATACAAACAATACTCAGCAAGCAACACTATATATTTCATTTCACTTGGAGAAAAAACTTTACATGTTCTCGACAATACTATATTTGCTAGTTCACTCACTGTCATACCTACAAAAATTCTAGCACATTGGTAAAAAGGCTTCAGCAGCAAGAAAGAATATGGTTTCAGTTTTTAACCAAAGACACTACTACAGTTCCGTTTCCTGATCCCTCACAGCATGATCCGAGACAGTTCCCTCAGAAGATGCTTCCCCTCCATGGGGCTGCTCAACCCTGGAGGGATCTGACTGAGTCTTGCTGGAATCTCCACTATCAGGGGCTTGTTCTACTTTATGTTCTTCAGATGAACACCAATTTTCTGGTGATATCTGTCTCGGCTTCTTATTTCTGAAGGCACCTTCTGAGTCTTTGAATTTGGCTCTGCCAACTGTTGGCAATGGCAGCTTGCTCTCAAGATGAGGGCCAGGAGCAATACAGGATGCAACCAACTGGAGCACTTCAGGAGAAGGAGATAGTCCCGAGCTTGTCTTTTTCGATAAGTGTGATGGGTTTGCCCCTTTTAAATTAAGAGGGGGCAAGTTGAGGTCAGATTCAAGCTGCTGAGGCCCTGTGGGAGGATGTAGAGGAAATGGTGGTGGGAAAGGAGTTGAACTTGAAGCACCGTTATCACCATGGTGGCTGCTGTGAGTGTCCGGACAAAAATCTGGAAGAAACAGCTTGGGCTTGTGTGATTTTCTCTTCCTTTTCTTCTTGATATTACTCCTGGGATCCTTTGGTAAGGATGGGGGTGGTCCAGGGATCACAAATGGAGGAATTGTAGGCTTATCATCTCCATAGAGCATGCGTACTGAATGAGCAATGGCCGATACTGTGGGAGGGAGTTCAGGATCAGGAAGTTTGGCAGGGGAACTCACAGCTTGTCGTAACCAGTGGGGAAGCTTGTCTTTTGAAGAACTACTTCCAGCTACTTCCTCCCCTTTTGAGTTCATGTGATCTGGTATAATAGGGTTGGATAACAATCCTGAGCAAGTAGATTCACCTTTTACTACATTGATGCTACAATCACGCGCATCGTTCGGTGACTCATCCGGAAGTACAGGCATCTTTCCACGCTTGATGTTTCCACGCTCATCCTCCTGTTGCTGTATATTAATGTTGCCTGAGCAATTCAAACCTAAAGAACTCAAGCTGGCTGTTCCAAAAGAATTGAGTAGAAATGGTCTTTCTGTCAGCACATTGGAAGAAGTTCCTGGTCTATCAGTTGTTTCAGCAGAAGCATCATCAAGAAATTTTGCTCTGCTCGTATCATGGCTCCAAGACGGAAGAGGTGCAAAGTGATCATTTTGCAGACTAGGTCGATCCATTGTTCTAAAATGTGGAAGACCAGATGCAGCAGGACCACCTAATCCTAATTTCATGTCAGTCAGATGGTTTTGAAATTTTGGCGGTAAAATAAATTTGCTACCTTGCAAGGCCCTTTCCATCATTGCATCAGAGATTGGAAAATGTGAAGATTTGGAAGACTTGGTTGTCTTGGAAGATGATCTTTGCACAGGAAAAGCTGGCCCCTGAAAGACCTTTACTAGTTCCTCCTCCCACCTCACTGATAAATCTTCGCATGTTTTATACTTTGAAAACTTTAACTTGGTATCTCTGAGCATGGCATCCCAATTACCCCTTCCATGCCTGCGAACACCGATCCAGAGGGAATCAAGTTCATCTTCAGACCAACCATCTGATTTTGACTTCTTTTTCAATAAACTATTTGGTCCAGACCCAGTTCTCATCATTATGTTTTCAAGAACTTTCCGATGGTTTTCGGAGAATGATGATAGTGACGTTGGCTTTTGTCCTAAACCCAAGGTGGGCGGAACATCCCTGTCTTGCTGACTATATCTAAATAAATCTTCTGGGGGCATTTTAAAATTAGGTAATGTTGGGAGGTCTTGCATAGATCCATTCAGAGCTTCAAGTCTGCCTCCTAACGACAAATTAGGTAAGAGCTCCGGATGTGAATTTGGAATGTTCTTTGTTGTGAGTGGAAATCTCGCCAGAAACCTTTCATCGAAAGGCAGTTTTGGCAGGGCCATTTTCTCCTGGAAAGCAGAGAATCTAGCACCCGGACTTTCAAATGCATCAGATTCCTTTCCTTGCACAGGGGGTGGAAACTGCACCAACAAAAAGACATCAATCATAGTGACATGTACATAAAGTCAACATTGTTTGACAAAAAAAAACACTGCCATATTAAGAGAGCATACCGGAAGAAATGGGAGAAAGTTATCGGGGATGCTATTTCTGAAACTTTGTAAATTTTCTGTTGATGCGTCCAACAGTTTGGTATTTGCTGCATTTTCCTTACTTCTTGCCTCAGCATCCATGGATGTCCCGGTGCAAGGGGCGAGGCTGAATGGAAACTCTTGTCTGGCTCCGTGCCTATTTTGTCTCCAGTTTAACTTTGAAGTGTTACCCTCTGATGATTCTATTTGATTAGCATTAGGAGCACAGAGCCCTAGAACAGGCAACAAATTGTTGCTCGGCATAGAGTTTGTCACGTTAATCCTCCCCCTGTTGTGGTAGTTTGAAGGCAAAAGTTCGGGTAAAGGTCGGCCTGGATTATTGCCAGAAATATTGAAGGGATGTCTCATTTTATTTTTTGAAAGCTTTTCGATCCTTGATAAGGAGTCAGTGTTAATATTTTGAGCTTCTGAAAGTAGACTATTTTTGTTGTCCTCTATGTTGATAGAAGTTCCTTCTTGAACTGAATGTATCGGCTCAGCTCCTAGATCTACATCTTTGGCTATCAATGGCGGATGCATGAGTGACTCAGTACCTGGAAGTCCTTCAGCAGAATGTGATTCTTTAACTGCATCCCTCTGAGCAAGTCGTTCCTTCTGCCGAGCACGGAGTTTAGCACTGTTGACCATTGACAAGTGCAAACATTTCAGCATTAAAGACCTATTTTATCATGATTCTGAAAACATTTGGATATAACAGTGCCAATCAAACTACCAAAGATATGAAATATCCTGGTCCTAGTGTTTGAAAATTACCAATTAGAGTGAATAATTTAAATCTTAAATGTTTGAGTGCTCAAATTACCACTATCATTGTCCAACAACAATAAAAATACCATTATCAATTCATCATTAGCATGCAGGATTTGCCAAGTGCTCCGGGTAAGTAGTTTCCAGAAGTCAAAATTACCGCATAAAAGGTTATATTTACACATGCTTTTTTTGCTCTAAAAGAAACCAATTAATAGAGAAAGGAGGAAATCCTTTTTGACAATGTACCAGAACACTATTAGAAAAACAAACTCCTCAATATAAATAAAATAATGCATTCTGAAAGAATCGGTATTGCATACTTAGGTTGAGAAAGGGAAAGAATGGAAAAAAAAATATGATTCTTAATTTTCTTTTTATTCTGAATTATGATGCTGAGTGCTATACTTGGGATTGTTTTAGTGTATTGAATTGAACCACTACAACTAATCAGATCTATGTGCACGAATAATACAGCAAGCAAAGGTCCAGAGATTCATAATCAAACAACACATAATACATATACATATAATTGTGTTAAAAGAAACCCGGCGAAAGAAGCCATAAATAAACAATGGGACTGATAACATATCCATACTCTCTAATCATGTCTAATAAGTTAAGTTAAGAAAGCTTGAAAAATAAAACATACAATTTTGTCTTCAGGGCCCGTCCGGCTGGTGTGTATTCGCGCTCAGGTTCTGGTGCTTTTTCCTCCTCACCACCACTCTGGTTGAACAAACACATCAATAGAAAACATTAATGAAACATGAATTCAATAAGAAAGAATAAAAATGTTAAGAAACTAAATAATCAAAGCTAAAGTAGTGAAGCAGACTAACAATCACAATTTTAACAGTCAGTAATTAAGCAAGTGATCCTCAAAATGTAATTAGGGGCCTATTTACAGCTTTCAACAAAACTAATATAAAATTAAGCTGGATTAAATAGGGACAGGAAGGTGATGACACTCGGTCATTCTACATGTTTCTAGCGATTTTCCTAATATCTTCATGGTATTTTTAGTTCATTTTGTGTGAAACAGAGCAAAACAGGACATGATTCAAGACATTGTGGAAAAGCTCAATTCAATTCAAAATCACTCTAACTAGACAACTTTTACAATGTTTTCATGAAGCTAATGTGTTTTACGTGCTACTGGAAAAAATGTGCCACGCCAAGCACATCAACGCGGCATGTTAAGGGAATCTGAAGGAGGCCATGTAGGCAAAAACAAGAGAATGTGGTGCACATGATGGTGCGTTTGTGCGAGCCAGATTTTTAACCACTGCAATTTTTTGACCAAATATAGAATTTTGTAAGTCTGATTGAGGTGAAACTTGCTGCAATGGAAAGCTAACGTCCAGAGCTATAACTTTCATGAATAAGTCAAACTCTAATTTGGTCCGTAAAAGGATGGAAAATTGGAGACTTGTGAGAAGCCCTGAATAGCAACAAACCTGTTAAGAAATGTGGTTGGGCCTAACTCAACCCTACAAAACCGGTTGGTAGAGTGAGGATAGCCCCCAGTTATAAACACATGTTAATACCATATATTGTCCGATGTGGGACTCTTAACAAAACCTTTCTGCTGCCACATCAAGTACGCAGGGTTTTCAGCATATGAGGTTCAATCCTCAACAATGAGGTATCTTGGAGGAATAACTGGATTTTAAAGGTGGTGATGAATATGAATGTGTTCGATGCTTTCAACTTGCTGCTTCCATGAGAAAATTTGAATCATCAAGCTTAATGCTGATGTGTTGAGCAAAGGTTTTGGAAATATTCTTCGTTGTAGATCCACCTTACAGTGTGGAAGATTGTTCCATTTCAGAAGGTGAAGCCATGGATATGGATCATAGGCTTTGATACTATATTAGAAATGGAGAGGGTGATGATTTCACCATCTTGAATATTCTAGAAAGAGAAAGGAGAGAGAGAATTCTGTTTTTGAGATAGTTATGAATAACAGAAGATGATTATATTATTACAATGAATAGCTTAATGCTATTTAGGAAGCTGTGACTGACTGAGTTAGTTGCAACTCAGTTAGAGTTCAGCACATGGTTTGTCATAACTGCCTTCTAGACAGTTCTAACGAACTAATCTGTTTGCTTATTGCTATTTTGCTTTGCTAGTTACAAGGAAAGCAGTTACGGATATAACTACTATGCTATATACTCTAATAGCTTTGAATTTTATCAGAAACAAACACTTCTCATCAGTCATCACCTCCCAATTAGAATTAATAAAGCTTACTAAGAAATAAATTATGCTTAACTAGCAGAAAGAAAGCAAATTACCTCACTCACTGCTTGGATTGGGTGTGGAGCGTATGCTTCTCGATATGAAACAGCTTTCCTCTGTCGCTTCCCTCGACCAAGAACAGCTTCCTCCTCACTCTGATATTTCTCCCACCTAGAAACCGGATTAAATGTACAAGAAATTCAAGCTAAGACATTAGTCACACCAATTGATGGCTAACTATGCTGTCAAAATAAATGCACCCAACATGAGTTAATTTTTTGCACACATTTATAATCATTATAAAGAAAAAACCTGTTCTGGATTTGCGTAGAAGATTTTATTTATTTAAAGCAGTTTTTTGTAAACTTATCATTCACCATCATAAGATCAAAGAGTTCATTGCATGCTACTTCAGTCCTCACAAGTACTTACGTGTAAACAACAAGTTATGGTCGGCCTACATTTTGATTTCATGTGATGGGTATGTTTAAATACAACTGATTTTTAGGCCTTTTGTCTTTTTATTTGACCACTAAAGCTTGTAAAGAAGAAAGCAGTTTGACTATAAGAGAAACTAAGAAAACTAAAAATAGAACACGAGGATTAATCCTTAAGGGACGTGAAACAAGGGACGAAAGCAAGGAAAAAAACAAGTCACCTCAAAAGATGTACTCATTTTCTCAGAATATCTAATATACAAACCTCCATAATGAAAATGTAAGATTTGAATTTGTGTCTAATCAGACCACAAAAGCCTGTATTTACAAATTAATGTGATTTCTAATTCTTATCCCATTTAGCGACTAATTTGGAATTCTACAGCTAATGCATATTTCACAGGTGACTAACTACACAAATCGTGTGACTATTTCTAACAGAAATCATGAACAAAAAATCAAAGAAAAACAAAACGTAAGCCTTATTACACCATGTGTGGCTGGCTTAATAGAAGCCAACAGATACAAGTAAAACTAGACTTAATAAGTATCATAAACTTCTGTTTTCATTTGAGGTCATTTCTAACAAGGAATCTGCTGCTCTTATCTACAAGCAAGAGTTCTCTCCAGCAACAGAAACATCTCTCTCATTTATATTTTTTATTTCATAATGTATCTTAAAATGATATTTTTCATTATTGTTAAGTAGATATTTTCCTATACAGCATAGCCCTTTATGTAGAACTTAGAAATTGTCAAATAGAATCTCCTTACCTCAAACGCAATAGTCGGTCCCATTCATTTTCTTCACCGCCAATCACTGCATTATCCTCTTTCTTCTCAGAGTTTGGTGTACACATGTCATCAGTTCCATGAGGAGGGGACTCACCCTCTACATGTTCTTCAGTCGGTTCGTCATTCCACTCAGGGGCCTACATAAGAAATATCCAACCACGATAAGGAACGTAGTATTTAATATACCCACATGTATCTACGAGCATGGAGAAACAATCAAAGTAAGAGAAAATAAATAAAAGGTGCAACCATAGATGCAGATTAGGCAAGATCTGTCATTCAAAGGAGTCCAACTCAGCGCACTGTATGTTCCTAGGTGATAAATTAATACATAGAAAAGTTAAAAGCATGGTCAAGCGCAAGGAAGCATTGTGGAACCATCTCTTAAAACCTAACTATCAGAGGAAAAAACCAAGCCACTTACATACCCCACCGAAAATCACATACTACTCGAAGTGGGACTAAACTACTTAAAGTGGGACTTGAGCACCACATAATACTCAAGTCCCTATCATAGCACCACCCTTGAGAATCGAAGTCTAAGGCACTTTAACCAGCCATTCTGGTCAGGCCCTTCGTAGGTATTTCTTCCCGTCTAGCCGACAAGCAGCTCTGATGTCAATTGATAAGTATCAAAACACTTGGGGAACCCTCCCTTAAAATCTAACTATAAAGAGAAAAGAACCAAGCCACTTAAATACCCTACCGAAAATCTCATACTACTAGAAGTGGGACTAAACGACTTAAAGTGGGACTTGAGCACCCCAAAATACCCAATTTAGTCCCTTTCGGGTCAGGCCCTTCGTAGGTATTTCTTCCCGACTAGCCGACAAGCAGCTCTGATTCCAATTGATAAGTATTTCTTAGGTATTTCTTCCCGTCTAGCCAACAAGCAGCTCTGATGCGAATTGATAAGTGCTAAAAACACTTGGGGAACCCTCCCTTAAAAACTAGCTAACAAGGTGAGAGAACCAAGCCACTTACATACTCCGCTGAGCATCCCATACTACTCAATGTGAGACTTTGCTTGCCGAAGGGACGAATTTAGTCCCACGTTGCTTAGAGATATGGCATGTGTTGTATTTATAAGTGGGGGTAATCCTCACCCTACAAATCGGTTTTGTAAAGATGAATTAGACCAAACTCTAATAGATACTGTTAAAAGTCCCACATCGGACAATCTATGGCCTAAACATGTGTTTATAAATGGGGGTAATCCTCACCCTACTAGTCGGTTTTGTAGGGTTGAGTTAGGATCAACCATACATTCTTAAGATGGTATTAGAGCATCGTTGAAGATCCATTGGGCCACCCACAATTTAGTTCCACGCTCCAGACGAAATCAGAGAGGGTATTAAGAGTCCCACATGAATGTGTTTATAAGTGGGGACAATTTTCAACCTACTAGTCGATTTTGTAGGGTTGAGTTAGGCTCAACCACACGTTCTTAAGAGATACAAACCATCATCTTATCAAAGAGAAGTTGGATAATGGTCTTATAGTTAAGTGCATGCCACTTCAGGGTGAAAATTGACAGGTGTGTATTAACTAAGGGACTTCCTATAAAACAGTCCCTAAATCTTCCGGGCAAGTCCAAAAAATGATAGATGTCCAATTTACCAACTTGTGGGAGTTTGAATTGTAGGAAGTTTTTTCATTTTTCCTTTTATTTCTATGGATTTATTTCCTCTTCTTTGTACAACTGATTTTTATATTTTTCATTTGAGGAAAGATTCTCTATCCTTAATTATATAAAAGCAATTAATAGAAATTATGTACATAAAGTCCATAAAATGTAAGTTGTGTTTTTATGCAAAATCTAGTTTCCAGTCAATTTTATCTCTCTTCATTTGTAAGATTCTAGGTTCTACACGAAACTCGGAATCAAATAAATACCGTGACTACTAGATATTAGTCAATTACTTCACCTTCATTGAGCCCAGCATATCATTCTCAGAATCCCCTTCGGCAATGTCTGTTGAACCGTCTTGAAGGTTAGAACGATCAAGCAATTTTAAAATGGCATTTTCATCCCATAAAATCTTGCTGCTGCTCTCTGTACACTTATCCTCATATACATCACCAAGTCCACCAGTCCTCTTCCGATGCTTATGTTCTATATCTGCTACTGCCTCATCTTTGTTACTATTATTATTCTCACTTGTATCTTTTCCATTCAGGCCACAAGAATCATTGAAGAGTTCTTCCGTTCCCCATTTTAAAATATCTTCTACCTCTTTTTGAGACCCAGATTTACCTTTAAAAAGCTGATCAAGCATCAATTTCTTTTTAGCAAGCTGCAAGATGCGCTCTTCAACGCTGGCGCGAACCACAAGTCGGTATACTAAAAGTCTATTTGATTGCCCAATTCTGTGTGCTCGATTCATTGCTTGGATATCTGCATGAGGGTTGAAATCAGAATCATAGATGATGACAGTGTCAGCAGTGGCCAAGTTTATCCCAAGTCCACATGACCTAGTGGATAATAAGAAAACAAATCGACTTTTGTCTTGGTTGAAGCGTGCAATTGCTGTCTGACGATCTGCTACAGACACAGAGCCATCCACTCTCTCAAATGTTCTAGGCCCAAATTCTATGTTCAAATAGTCCTCCAGGATGTCAAGAAGTTTTGTCATTTGAGAGAAAATAAGAACTCTATGACCTTCCCTATACAAAATCTTTAGCATAGAATGCAAAAGTGTCAACTTTGCTGAAGCCTTTATTCTCATTTCATGAAGGAACTCGACAGATCCAGAATCAGGCTCAGTTCCTGGTATGAGATATGGATGATTGCAGACCTTCCTCAGTTGCATCACAATGTTCAGCATAGATGTCGGAGCAATACCTTTCCCAATATTTCGCAATACTTGATAATTCTTTGTAAGCATTGCCCGATAATATTCAGCTTGGATGGATGATAACTCAACAGGAACCATTCTTTCTGTCTTGGGAGGAATATTTTGCATGGCATCCTTTTTAAGTCTACGAAGCATATGAGGAGAAACTAGTTTTTTCAATTCATCAACTTTCTCTGCAGACGTAAGATCATTAAATCTCTCCTCAAATGAAGAGAGGGAAGGAAATGATGCTGGCTGTAAGAAATTAAGCAAGTTGTACATCTCACCAAGATTGTTCTGGAGAGGGGTGCCTGTCAACAGAACACGATGTTGAAAAGAGCATGAATTTAGCAAGCTGAACAACTTACTTTGTGAATTCTTCAGTCGATGGCCCTCATCAACAACAAGAACTTCCCAAGGAACTCCCCGAAAATGAGGATAATCGGCAAGAACCATTTCATATGAGGTTAAAAGCACATTAAACTTATAGGCTTCTGTTTTCTTATTCGGTCCACTTGGATCACTTGCATGCCATTCATACTGTCGAATTATGGCTCTTGCTTTTGCACAGCCATGATATTGAACAACATTAACATCTGGAGCCCATAACGAAAACTCAGCGAGCCAATTGCCCATAGTGACAAGAGGTACCAGAACCAAACAAGGACGTGAAACTTTGAATTCAAAATACAAAGATGAAATAAAAGCACAAGCAGATATTGTTTTCCCAAGCCCCATCTCATCAGCAAGTATCACATTCTTGGACTTATACCAGCATTTACGCAACCAGTTCAGAGCCTCAAGCTGATGGGGAAATAAAGAACCCCCTTTTAGCTCTTTAGGTTGCTCTACAAGACTAACTACATCGCTTAGACGGTCATTGCTTTTTTTAGTTGAGTTTTCCTTTGATGCATCCCTTTCCAATGTGAGAGTTTCAAACATTTTAAAGCGTGTAATCAAATGAGAAGAATTTTGAAGCACAGGTTCATCTAAACTTTCCCAAGTGCACTCATCATAAGGATTTCCAGCCCACTTAACATATACTTCAGATACTCCATGTTTGGAAGTGCGAATAGCAAGCAACCGCTCAGGATTCTTCCACTGTTCTTCACAAATATCTATTGTAGCCGTTCCATATTTTGCCTTGTAATTTTCAAGTTTTCTCTTTGCAATAGCTTTTAAATGGGATTCAGAAATCCAACTATTATGAATATGAGACTTTCCTACCCACTTAACTAAAAATTCATAGGAAACTCTCTCTCCATTTGGACATGCAGATTCAACCCTAATAGCATCCTGAACTTTATTATCAACACTGCTACCCATTCCCTTTGGTTCAGTTTTAAGAGAATCATGCATTTCACAATTTTTTGGAAGCTCGTTGTTGCCGTCCCCTCTTAAAACAGCATTAAGATTCTCCCCCGTCTCCAACTTGTCATTTTCCTTTTCCAACTGTTCAGCAGATACAGCATAATCATCCTGATCTGTACCATCCTTAACACATGAATCTAAATCATCAGTGGCTTTACTCAAGGAATTTGTGAGATCACCATTCTTACTTTCCTTTGTTGTTAATCTCCTGTTTACATGAATATTTTCCACTCTATCAGTGTCTTTCAACCTTCCTTCATCAGAACTTTTGACATTTTGAGGATCATCAACAAGATCTTCAGCTATTTCAATGCCGACAACATTATCACAAGCAGAATTATCTTCTACTAGCCTTGTCTGGTTTTCTGACATTACCAGATCGTCGGAAGGTGAATCATCCCCAACTTTCAAGGATAAGTGCCGTACTAAGTTTGTGTTCTCGCCTTGTATTCGACACCCTAAGACTCGATCAACCTGTGAGATGGATATACAAGTTAAAAAGAAGACATGATAATCACATACAAGATATCAGGGAAGGCATTTTCTTTCAACAGTGCAGAGATGGTTACCTGCAAAGATTCAAGAATAGTACTGTCATCATGCATTAAAGTTCCGTCCAAGTGGCTTCCTACTTTATCATGTTCATTTGACGTGACTTTCATTGCCTGAGAGTACTTCTGCACCCAAGCAAAAGCAAATAATGCTTACAGCTACCCGCAAATACAATATCATATTAACAATAATAATAAATATACCCTATATCTCAGCTAGTATGTCAATATATATCAAGGATAAAATAGAAGGATTAATATATTCAGAAAGCAAGCTTAATATACTTTACACATTATAACTGCTTTGAAATCTATAAACCCCAGCTACTGATATTTCTAAATCTAACCCAACAGTGAAAGCCTTCAATACTTGAAGAAATACTTCTACCAACTTTTTACCTTTCCCCACAGTCTGTAATATATCTAAAAAAATTCTCACTAAAGAATGTCTAAATCTGATAATGTTCAAACTTTCTCTTATAAATTACAGTGAATGTATTTAAACAGATCATCTTATACAATAGTTATCTACTGTATCCTAGTCATCGATTAACTGCTAGCATGTTGTCAATCTGCACTCTCATTCTTTGATTTCGTATTCAAGCTTTACTTTTCCCTAGCTGAAAGCTTAGAGCGGACTAGGATATAGGAAATGCATAGAAATCAACAAATAAAATAAGTGTGAGCATTGAAGGCAGGCAGGTTATGCGGCCTATGCCATTAGAAAAAATAAAGTTGCAAAATGATTCATACTAAAGACCTTTACTGTTGCCCGCATGCTTCGTCAGAATTCAATGCCACAATCATTAACAATTTCATAATTTAGATACCATAAATGCATTCTAAATGAATTTCCAATAAATGAAAAAAGTGCCACCAAAATAGTATTTCAAGTGCATATGGTATCAATATGATAGGCAAGGCGGGTAAGGAAGTAAGAACAGTATTTCATTTCACAGTCTCCCATGGTCTGGGATTGATGTCAAGAAGGGTGAAAAGAAGGACAATTCTTGATTATTAAAAAAGGACAATTCTTAAACTCTAAACAAATATTAAGATAAAGTGGATTTTGAATCTTTAATAGCAGTCAAATTAATTCGTAATTTAATGATAAACATTTTAGATCTGTGAAGAAAATATTTATAATATTATGCCAGTATTTATTCATTGTATTTATCAAAAAAATGGTGTCTGCAATTTAACAAGAACTATCCATTAGAATGTGTAATAAGTATTTACTCAGAAGTAAATCAATTGAATAAAATGTTTTGATTTTATAGGTTAGAAGTAAACATCTTATAAGAATCAGAGGCAGAACAAGTACCTTAACTTTCCGCTGGGCATCAGATTTCTTTTCTCCAACATCCCCTTTTGATATAGATGTGGAAATTTTCTGTGTTTTGGACTTCTGCTTCTTGTGTGTTTTATTATTTCCAGACTTTGACTTTATAGAAGCAATGGCAAATTGTTTCCCCTTTTCAGTCCTACGCCTCTTTTGATTAGCATTATCACTAATAACTTTAAGTTTCCTTTTCCGTGTTTCCTCTCCACCAACAGTAATAGCAAGAACAAGTGTTTTTCTAAAAGGAATTTTATCACCAGATAAACTAGGCTTCTCCTCCAGCAGGTCATCATTTGTATCTAAATTAGAAATTTTAGAAGGCGACAAAACTTCCTTATCTGGTGAAGCTGACATCGTGTCAAAAGGTGCGACTGTTGGGGACAAGTCCAAGTTCTTCTCATCAGCATCCATGCATGATGAAGTTCCTTCCATGCAACTTTCATGAGATGGGTCCGTTAGCTTGTCGCTACAAGTTGCATCCACTGGGGAAGACAGTGGTTTCATTCCAAAGAATTTTCCTCCCATAGTTGAAATAGATTTTGCTTTGCTTGACCTTTTTTTTGAAATATGCTTATTTCCAAAAATTCCAGAAACCTTTTCCAGGTTGAGGGTGTTAACTCCAGCTTTTGATTTTACAGGTACAGTCTTCGTCCTCGCTCGTTTTGAAATTGAATCCAGGTTATTTAAGGGCTTTATTTGATCATTTTCTTCAAAGCAGCTTGGACATTGCCACTTCCCCATAGGTATGCGCTTCAGGAGATAAAATCACGAATTATCAAAAACGGAAGAAAAAAAATATACAACCTGAGAATACTTTTTTAATTAATATTAAAAGCTTAATATAAAACCAACTCAACAAACATACCTTAAGAGGAGGGTCAAGACACTGTAAATGATAAGTGCGAGGACAGCTATCACAGCACAATAAGTTGCCACCAAGATCACAGATCACGCATTCATAGAAATACTGGATCGAAATTTTTATTATATCACGGTTAGAGAATTCAAACTAATAGAATATGAAAACAAAACACATAAATAATAATTAACTGGAAGCATCCCAAAAAGATTTTCCTATAAATAAAATACTATTAATTGAACAAAGATAGAATGAGTGCACAGGATAACATATGCAGCTAGAAAATAAAATACATGACTAACAAAATAAGAAGAAATTATTCACATGACAACACATCCAAATCTAATCCCACTGCGTATGTCCCATAAGAAATTTTTTATTAGATGAAATATGACCCAAATAAGTGTAAAGTGGGAGACATCTCTCTCCTTAATAGTCGGTTTTGTGTGGTTGGGCCTAGACAAAACATATGCACCAAGTTTGCTACAATCAAAATCAACCGGAAGCCCTGTAAGGGAATTGGTAAATAAATCTTCTATATAATTTAGGTGACCACTTTCTAGGTTCTACCAAGGCAATTATTCGTCTGAACTTTCTAGGTGCTATCAAGGCCATTATTCTTATATAGGAGCTTTTGTCACTAAAGTATCTTGTTATTGTTGGCAGGGGCTTGAATGGGCTTCTTGCAGTGCTTAATGATCTACGTGAGAGTGTTGTCGTCATTGTTCAGCAAAGGAATCATGCTATCTGCTCTTGAACGTCATTGCCTCCAAATCAAAGGTATCATTTGTCAATGAGTAGAAGAACAGTGGTGGAAGGTTGAATTGCAGTAAATCTAAGTTGAGGACTAGCAGGGTCAGAGATTTACGGTGTGACCAAACTGGCAGGAGAAAATGACTCGCTCCCTCATGCATTGATGAGCCATTTATGGCCAGATTTCAGTAACTGACATGTGAAGAAAAATCAGAGGTTCATTAGCAGCAATCAAAACTTGGGTCATTCTGAGCAAGCAAACACTCACGATGTGTAGGCTAAAAATAATTTCAGGTGGGAAAAGAAAGTAGTTAAATACCAAGTGAGAAACAAGCTTAACCACATAACAACTGAACAAACAAAAAACTCCAAACAGACGCGGATATGGGGGACAACTGCCCGGTCAACTGGAGTAGAACAATTTTGAGACAGACAATGTGAAAAAGAAATTCTAGATTGTGAGGGATCCCGAATCAATTGCTACTCCTTTCCTCCAGTGGACAGGCTTATTCTATTCTAAGTTCCAACATACAAGTCATTTGACTTAAAAATATCTTTTGTCCAAATACAAGAAAATATCAAATTAGATTTCTATTATTTCTTTAAGATATGATATACCTATCAAAATAATAGAAAAATTCATCAAATCATGACTTTAAGTATCAAACATTTGATTTTCATATCTATCCAACTGGAATAGAACAATTATGAGACAGACAGTGTGGAAAAGAAGTTCTGGATTGTGCGGGAGCCCGGGCACTGGAATACTACATGAGTATGTCACAGAGGAAGGTGCTGGTACTGCTTTTTACCATATAAAAATGAGGGAGAGTATGCTGAATCACGTATATCTAGGTCGAACGGCAGATCTCTTATTTTTAATATAACTACCACAAATATATAATCTGCTCATTGGCTGATTTGCAACCTAATAATTGCCTTATTTACAGCTATCATTATTATGTTAGTCGACATTGAATTAATCTAACACATCTTATTACCAATTAAAACAATGATAATTTCAAATTTCATACCGGTTTTGGAAATCAAAAAGGCCCTCAACAGTGAAGATGACATGGCAGAAGTGATAACAAATCTAGCAACGAAAGTCTAGACTCTCAAAGACACGGCTATCAACAGTGAGCAATCCAAATATATGGAAATATAAAATTAAATACTTGAAGTACTCTCAAAGACACAGATCTATCAACAGTAAAGTAATTCAAATATATGGAAATATAAAAATAAATACTTGGAGTTCGATTCCTATTTACCCCTTATTTATAAAGGTCTAACTCAAGGTAAACTATCTCTAACTAACCAATTGGGATTAACATGTTACTCACCCCATCATGTCCCTTCTTCTTAGATGAATGCTGAGAAGTGCCTTCTTCAGTCTTTAGCATACGTTTGGCTGAAGCATTCCTAGAAGAATCAGATGCTACCGAATTATCTTCTTTACCATTGGATTGCTCTTTACCAGAGGACTGATCCAGTCCTATAGGAAGTTTTCTACGTTTGCGCTTTAAAACCCAGTTCCTGTTAAGCATTTTAGGTACAGATGATTTGATTTCCTTCTTCATTCACATGTGCCCTGCATAAAGAATCAACCCTTTGACCATCAGCGTGTCATCAGCAAGTCTAGAACAAGTACCAGCATAAGTCACAAGATAGGTCTTAAGTAAGATTGAAACTCCAAGGTTGAATTGAAATAACATAGTAGCTGAATACAAAAGTAACTTATAATTTGCTAATTCTTAAGATATTGAATGAGTGCATGAAATGTAGAATATGTTAGTGCCGCAATATTGTCAATTGCAGATCGCAAAAAAATAGATGTTTGTTCAAACTTCGCTAAGCTACAGTGCTATAGCGCCTATAGCTGCAAGTATCTTAGAATATTTTGTACTAAATAGCGCATTGCAGAATAATAGCGATTTCTTCAGTGTGCCATAGCACCGATGTCGTGGCTATTTGACAACATTGTGCGTCTTATGACAAATTTTGTGAGTCTGGTTGGAAAACATGCTAATATCAGTCAGCAAGGTTTACGAATGAATGTGACGATCAAAGCTAAGCTGAAGCTTTGTGATGTGTACAGTAGTGATGTCCAAATCAAACCAGAAGATCTTTCGTTTAAGAATGAAAACTTTAAGACAGAAAATAACATCTACTCTATCCCCCTCCCAAAAAAAGCCAAAAGTTTATCATCTAACATTGAAAAAATATTGCATTTGATCATAAGTCATGTCTTCAAGAAGATATTTACATGAATAACAGCATTACCTTCCCTTAAGGAAAATTGCAATCAATATCCTACACCAACCACATTGCAATGTTTAGGTTAGGCCCCCATTTGTAATTATATTCACACATTAAACAACACCAACAACAACAACTACTACAAAATTTGAAACAAACATTGCCTTCACTACATCTACAGCCAACCATTCTCCTCCTCCTCCCAAAAAACCATAAAAACATTCAGAGTAGTAAACTTCTTGAAATACTATAGCACTCACATTCTCTTTTCGCCATCCAAAATCATTCGAGAATCAAAGCAGGATCAGATTGTCCATTTCAAAATAGCCAAACAAATGAGAAACACTTCCATTTGAAAACAATTAAATGTACTAAATCTAATCTAATCTAATCTAGTATTACTCCATCCAACATAACGAAACGTACGCAATAAACAGCTGATAACTGGATATTGAAACAACACACCACATAAAAAAAATTTATCAAAACCATCAATTAACTCCAAAACGTTCGAGCATTATCATCCACATTCAATTCAACTTAAAGCAAAACCCATAAACTCATTTAATATACTAGTCGAGCCAAGAAACCAGTTCAAAATCCAAGTAACATTCATACTAATTAAAATTACAGCAAAAACAACAATTAAACACCAAGTGATTCATCAACAATCAATAAACTCAAGCACAAACCAAACAACACGAGCTGAAATTAAACAAACAGAAAAACCCCAGAATAAGCAAGAATAACCAACAAACAAGAGAAATTAAGAAGCATACCAATCTTGTTGATGGATCAAACAGCAATAAGGAGACTAATTGCATGAGATTGAAAAAAGATGAGAAAGGGGCAAAGGAAGTGTTTAGGGCATAGAGAAGATGGATACAGCACCGAGAGACGAGAGAGATTCGAGGAGAGAGAAAAAACGAGAAAAGGGCAGACAAATGTATAAATAGAGAGAGAAAAATTAAAAAGAGATAGATATAGTATGTGTTGATAGAGAGAGAAAGTGAGTTTTAGAGAGAGAAAGACACATTGAAATACGGATTCGCCGGGGTCATAGGACAAGCTTGCGATCTGACATGGCAGTAGAGAGAGTTGTTGCTCTTTCAACCCCCAAAAACCACTCTTCCACTCTAACCATGACACGTGGCATCACATTCACTGTTTTCCTTTGTTTGTTCTTTCTTCTTCATTTTGCATTTTCCATTTTCTATTCTCAAATTCATCATCACAATTACTATCTTTCTAGAGAGAGAAACTCTCTATCTCATATGATGATCATTCTCGTGATCCTCTGCTGCATGTTTATGGACTGTTTCAATTTTTGGGTTAAATAATAATTAATGGTTAGTTGAGCGAGTGATAATTTGTGCGCTCTATTTAGTAGATAGTATTATAGTTTGATTTTCGGCAACAGGGATTGAAATTAATTAATATTAAAATTGATTTTGAATTAGATTAATCGATAGAGTAAATTGAATTAGAGTAGTCGGTAATAATAATAATATTATTATATAAAATAATAATAATAATAATAATAATAATAATAATAATATTTTTCTTTTATTGTTTAAATTTTTTAGTTATATATAGAATAGGGTGTAGGAATAGGATTACGACTATGTCCTTTTTTTCATTTCTTTTTTCTTTTTATAAGTGAATGTACTATTGTCCTTGAAGATTAATTATTTGTGTGTGCTGATTTTGAAAAGTGGTTTATTTACTACAATTAGTTTATTATTACTATTATTACTTGTTACTAATAGTGAACAGTATTCAATATTATCAAAAATAGTATTTACTGTTATGTTTTGTCTTATAGTAAGTAATTGTCAAAATCTAAATAAGATTCTCTTTATTAAGGCCATTTCGTATTTATATGCTTTTTTTGAAGGATAAATATTTGCTATTTTGAAAACAAAGATGTAAAATTAGATCCTCAAAATCTTAAGTATTATTAGGACTTAACGAAGTATTTTGATATTTTATGTAGAAGCTATTAAAATTAAAGTTTTAATTAAATTTTGTGGCTTGAGAGTATTTATGAATTTTTTATTCTTTAAATTCTCTTAGTTTATTAAATGTATTAAGTTCTCATGTTCTTTCTGAATACTACTACTACTTTATGATAAAGAAGAAAACTTACCTACAATTTATTAAGTATGATTTTACTATTTTTTAATATGACACATGTATAAAATATTATATATATATATATATATATATATATATATATATATATATATATATATATATATATATATATATATATATATATATATATATATATATATATAAAAGGAGTTTTTTACTCACTATGCCAAATAAGACCTATAACAGCGCTTAAAAGCGCTGCCTAAAGTAGCGCTGCTATAGGCCCCCTTTAGCAGCACTTTTAGCAGCGTTTTTTCCCCCCTTTAACAGCGCTTTTCAAAAGCGCTGCCTAATCCCCCATTCCCTGCCCCCTTTTAGCAGCGCTTCTGAAAAGCGCTGTCTATTCCACCCCGTTTAGCAGCGCTTTTAAAAAGCGTTGCCTATTCCCCCTCCCCCACCTTTTAGCAGCGCTTTTGAAAAGTGCTGCCTATTCCCTCCCTCCCCCTTTAGCAGCGCTTTTCTAAAAGCGTTTTCTTTTCTCCCCCTTCCCCCACCCTTTAGCAGCGCTTTTACTTAAAAGTGTTGTGTATTCTTCAAGTTTATAAAAAAAAATTTAAAATAATCACTTTTTTTTTATTTTTTTCGATAAACCTGCTTATAACAATTACATTTACTTTACATATAATCATTGTAATTCACATAAACCTGCTTATATATAATTCAACACAAGTCGATCACAAATACAATCAATTTACATATAATTACAAAACCGATAACTTTACAAATACATACGACTTCAATATTATTATCCCGCATCAATATTTGACGATACATATACCTTATACAATTCTCAACTCAAGAATGTATTGACATTATTCCTCCTTAATTTCTTCCAATTCTGCTTTCGAGTAAGTACCACACTTGAATTCATCAAAGTACTACATAATATAACAAAACATGCACGATTTAGTTTTAAAACTAATTACTCAAATGAAATATCGGTTAATTATTAAAATAAATCATATAACTTATGAATTTAACCATGCCATGATTGGAATATCTATTTGACCCGAGTGAATAATTTGCTTCATAAAGCGCAATACAAAATATCCGAAATTAATCCCATTGCGCTGACGAGGACACTGTAAATGTAAAAAACAAACGATCATTTATCAGGATATATAGTTTAAATAGTTTTATCAAGTAGAATTACTATAACAGTAAAAAAATGTGAAAATATACTTGCACTCTGATCCAGCTAATGTTATTAGCCTTCCTTTTTGGCACTTTTGCTTCTCTTTGCGATCGAAATATTTGTATAGCTCTAACATAATATAAACGAATATTTAGAACATTCTCACATAATAAATAAAGATAATTATTCAGAACAGTATATCTCATCAATTACGTATCAACCATAGTCTTCATATGAGGATATTTTGTTTGGTCACCATCCAATGAATCCAGATAATACACGATTTCTTTCATCAGATTAATCACGACCAACAACCAGTGTCCACTGTAAAATAAGACAAAAGTTTAGACAGAAATGTTATATAGAATGACAAAAAACGAATAATTATAATCAATGAACTTAGAATGAAATTTAACCCGTGGCTAGTATTATATGGCAAAAAGTACAACTTCTCTATATCTGCGGCCATAAATGATTTGACAAAGTAATCTCTGACTACATCTGGAGTGTGATCGATTGACCGTGCGTTGATACAGCTAGCAGTTAAGAATGAGAATCTTTAAGTCAAATCATGCGGGACCAACATCTTGTCATACAATAACCTTAAATAAAAACATAATCAACATTAGAATATTCATTTAAATGAGCAAATAAATTGTTCAATTATTTAATTAAAATTGATCGGAGTATTACCTGATGTAGGAATGCATAACACCGATGCCCAATTCAAAATGTTGGAAAATCTAGTCCAAATCCTCTTTGGCAATTGTTTCGGCATATTCAAAACCGAAAATACCTTCCTACATAGGTATTTGACGAATGCCACCCTCAACCACATCTATTGTTCCTACATATGTTTAAGGCACAACCTAAATCGAGGAACAAATGTTTTTTTGGCTCGACCTTTTTTTTATTGGGCACCTTGCTGACTTGTTGCAACTGTTGATCATGAACCTAAAAGTCATATAAATTCAGTAATTAATGTATAATAAGATCATCATATAATTATAATAGTACCTGTTTTTTTGA